AGTTGTGGCGCGGTTCTTCGAACACCTCCCCCCTCCCCCGTCTGACGTGAATAAAAATGAGGGGGAATTTATCTTATTTCACTGTTATTTCCCTTCTATCCCTACGCGGTCTGCTCGGGAGGATCTCGACTTTCCGCCGGACGTGTTGGGGAAGGGCACTCAGGTCGGGCTTTTTAACACGGGCTGAGGTTTTATGCTGTGTATATGTGTGTATATGTATATGTATATGTATATATATATATATATATATATATATATATATATATATATATATATATATATATATATATATATATATATATATGTATACACACACACACACACACACACACATACATATATATATATATATATATATATATATATATATATATATATATATATATATATATATATATATATATATATATATATATATGTATATATATATATATATATATATATATATATATATATATATATATATATATATATGTATATATATATATATATATATATATATATATATATATATATATATATATATATATATATGTATGTATATATATAAGGAATATGGTTCATATATATCCATCTATATCTATCTATCTATCTCTATATGTATACATATAATATATACATATTATAAATATACATATATATAATGTATATATTATATATATACATATATAATATATATATATATATATATATATATATATATATATATATATATATATATATATATATATATATATGTATGTATGTATATATATATATTATATATACATATATATATAATATATATATATATATATATATATATATATATATATATATATATATATATATATATATATATATATATATACCTCTTGGGCGCGGCCGATTCATGCCTTCGCAAATCTCGGTGAACTGTACTTGTTCAACGACTGTACTGGTTGACAAATTAATTTTCTCCGATTTACTTATTTTTGTCGAGGACATGGTATTACGATGTGAAACAACGGTGCAACACGAAATGCGAACCAGAGAACATGCAACAAGTCATTTCGTTCCAGCTTGTTCAGCTGTAAGAATAGTTACTAATATGGTATGGGCTCATGACAGCAAACATTTTGACGGTCTCACAAGCGCACAAACATACGGATAAACACACCAGCAGAGGAGGCCGCAAGCTTCTTCATGGCGAGCACGCTGGCCATTTTACTTGCTCACCAAGAGATCCTAAATAGTGATGCGTAAGAGAATAAGAATAAACCGTAAGAAAAAATAGGGAAATGCCCAATCGACCAAAATCATGGAAGAGAAATATCCCCGATTGAGAAATGTCCACTTCCACAAATTAATTGTGTTTGTGTGTATGCACATGTGTGTGAGAGTGTATGCGTTGGTGTGTATATGTGTGTTGCCAACAGAATAAATGACAAAGCACTGAATATTATCAGTTATACCAAATAACTACTTTTGTGCTTTAAACGATATTCCTGGAAGAATTTCCCGTTAAGGCCTCACGTCCGATAACACAGCCTCCTTGCTTTGCTCTCTTCAGATCCAGTCTGGGTGCGGAGACACTGACCGAGTTCCTGTTGGTCCTGGCTCTGCACGGCGGCCGCTGCGACCCAGTACCACAACCAGTACCATCATGTTCAACACTGTTTCCCTGTAAACGCTCAAGGCTGTTATCATAAAGCTTATCCCTACGATCAAGAATCTGTCCATGGCTGCCGTACCGGTGCCAAAATAGCTTCCTCAAACGGTATTACTGACGTCACTGAATTTCTCAAAGGAAAAATTACATGTGATAAATGCGGATGCGTATCTTTATCTGCCTTAGAAATACAAGTGAGAAAGATTTAATCGCAAGCTAAATTGTTTATTCATTTATTTATTTTTTGCCGCGTCAACATTTAAGGTCATTAGCGGTGTATTCACAATACAGCGATAGGATGATGCTTGGGGCGAAGCTCCCGGGTAAGAAAGTTTTCTTTCATACGACAATGTTTGTGATTCCCAGAATGGTTAAGGATTAAAACAAATATATGTGGTAGACAACAAAGGTCATATAGCATTATGATCAAGTATTGTAGTGAAAAGGGTAAAATGAGTTCACAAATATGATAACATGTGTTAGATATCAAAGGCAGTAGGCAGCTGTAGGGGAGAGCAAATGGAGTGCGGCGATTTGTAAAAGTAACACTCTATGAGGAAAACTGCAACAGAGCCATTCTGAAGCATTCATCGGGTAATATGGATAGAAATGGTTGTTGGAGAAGTATCCAGAGAATGAGGTACGGGAACAGGGGAAGGTTGTGAAGGATCCGGAGAAGGACATTGTTGTGACATAAGAGAGTCACGTGAGCATCCAGGTGGGAGTGGTAAAGATAATGGGGAAGGAGGAGGGGATGGTGGTGCTTGGAGAAGAAGAGGATGGGGTGTTTTGGGGGAGAATGGGAGGAAGACGGGTAGAGGGAACTTGAGCAGGATGATGGATATCGGCAAATACTTTGTAGAGCGGATA